ACTTTCTTCTGTGACATCGTTGTCTAATAAGTGCGCTCGGCGAAGAGCATTATATATTGACTGGTCGTCGTATGTATCAAAGGGGTCTAAATTGCTCCTATAATTGCAAAAAGCAAATAAAAACTAAGTGTAACATGGCAATCACCTCTAAATGAGAAAAATATGATCACCTTATGGTTCCATTGAACAGTACAGGGTCTTGAGGTATTATGGTAATTTTACTTCTCAAATCTTTTAGACCTATGGACGAGATGTCAATACCATCAATAATAATTTTTCCGGACGAGGGCTCATTAATTCTAAAGAATGATGATACAAATGTCGATTTTCCGCACCCTCAAAGTATGGACGTATTTTATATTTGATTAGAAAGATGAGTGAAACTGATAATTCTTGATTTTAACGAGCATTTGACTCACCTGTTCTTCCAACAATACCAATCTTTTCTGATCCCTTAATAGTTAGAGAAATCCCTTTTATGACGGGTGGATTTTCGGGTCCATATCTAATTTCCAAGTCTTTAATCACGATTTCTCCCTTGCTAGGCCACTCAGGAGGTGGGCGGTGTTCCGGAATTATCAAGTCTGCTTCACCTTCAACATTATCTATGCAATATAATAAACGTTCTACCGAGTTCATTGTTGCCTCCTATACATTATTATTAAATCGAAAATTTAATGTATGTTTTTGATAAATTCGAAACAACAATCACATACCACATCAGCAAATTGTTTGATGCACCAGCTAAAATCCGCCGTGATAATCATGCTGTAGCTTAGAATCACCCCCACTATAGATGGATCAACCTGGAATCTTTCAAGAACAGCCAATAGGCAAGCGATATATATGAGAACATTCGCTATTGATTCTAGTCGCACCCCTAACCACCTGCTGACCGCGATGTATAGAAAGTATGCACGATTCTCGTTATCAAGATATTGTTCGTTTGTACTAATTATAGTCGCTAATTAATATTTGAGATGCTAAAAGTTTAAGGTGGAAATAATAAGGAACTACCGCAGGAAGAATTCTTGCACACGGTATGCACGTATTATTGGTAAGCCAGTTAGTGTTTCGGTGAATTGACCATATAGTAAGGCCCTCAGTATCGAGTCCAAGCCTATCGGTCATGAAAATACGAATATCTTTTTAATTATCACCTATGATCCTATGATTAGAAAAAAATGGTATGTAACGAAAGCTACAACTTACGCATTAATTCTCGATTCGATGAGCGAGAATAAATCGAATAATAGTA